GGTGGTAGAAACACAGAGGAGAAAGTCAGGTACCTGGGGGGGGTGTGCAGGGGATGCATGGGCCCGCTGCTGCTGCTGTCTCCTCTTCTAGCGGTGAGGGCCAGAAAGGAGACAAAGAAAAAGAGAAAGATGTATTGATGTATAACCCTTTCCGCAAGGAGACAGTTTCCGCAGGAGACAAACTGTCTCCTTTGTCTCCGTGTGGGGTGTGGGCCCGGGGGGAGCTGCGTACAGTTCAGGTGTCTGTACGCAACCCCCTCAGCATCGATTTAGTTTTAGATAAAACTAAAATTATTACTGCTGGCGTGCATGCAGAGGTCTACCCCGTCACTGTCTTGGTGCCCCCCTCAGCTCACCACCAGGTCACCTTCGAGGTATGCCGCTGCTGCTGCTGCTCCTGCTGCTGCTGCTGCTGTTGGTGGTGGTGCTGCTGCTGCTGTTGGTGGTGGTGGTGCTGCTGCTGTTAGTGGTGGTGCTGCTGCTGCTGTTAGTGGTGGTGGTGCTGCTGCTGCTAGTGGTGTTGTTGTTGTTGTTGCTGCTGCTGTTAGTTTTGCTGCTGCTGCTGCTGCTGCTGTTGTTAGTGTTGCTGCTGCTGCTGCTGCTAGTGTTGCTGCTATCATCTGTCTCTTATCATCTGTCTCCTCTCCCTCTATAATCTGTCTCCTCTCCCTTTATCATCTGTCTCCTCTCCCTTTATAATCTGTCTCCTTTCCTTGTATAATCTGTCTCCTCTCTTTCTATCACCTGTCTCCTTTTATAATATGTCTCCTTTCTCTGTACGATCTGTCTCCTTTCTGTTCAGGTGACGGTGATGCCGAAGGAGACAGGCCGTCTGTACTTTGTGGGTCTTTCTTACACTCTAAATAGAGTCTCCTGCTGCCAGCTGCTGCTGCGCGACAGCAAGCAGCTCGACTGTCTCCTCGCAGCAAAGGGTTTCATGGGGGCCCCCCAGGGGGCCCCCCAGGGGGGCCCCCATGGGGGCCCCCATGGGGCCCCTGGGTACAGAGAGGGGCCCCTAGAGGGGATAGACGTGCGCTTTAAAACTACAGAAGCAGCAACTGCAGCAGCAGCAGCTGCTGCTGCTACTCCTGCTGCTGCTGCTGCTGCTGCCGCTCTGCTGCCGCCGCCTGAGTTCATAGACGCCGCGGGAGAACTGCTAGAGTGAGGAGACACTTGGTTCTGCTGCTGCAGCTGCTGCGGTGCTGCTGCAGCTGCTGCGGTGCTGCTGCGGCTGCTGCGGTGCTGCTGCAGCTGCTGCAGCAGCAGTGTAGCAGCAACAAGACACAGATACAGATACAGGCGTGATAGATGAACGGTCCCTGGGGAGGCGGATCCACAACAGCAGCAACAGCAGCAGCAGCAGCNTACAGGCGTGATAGATGAACGGTCCCTGGGGAGGCGGATCCACAACAGCAGCAACAGCAGCAGCAGCAGCGACAGCAGCAGCAGCAGGAGTCTGTGTGTATGTGCTGCTGCTGCTGTGTCTCCTTTTGCTGCAGGTACAGCTCAGCTGCATGCGTTGACGTCATCCCCCAGCTGCCGCTGCTTCGGGTGTCTCTGGAGACAGCTTCTCCTGTCTCCTTTTCGATGACAGATTGGCTGCAGCAGCCTGCGCGCCCTGCTGCTGCTGCTGCTGCTGCTGCTGCTGCTGCTGCTGCTGCTGCTGCAGGAACTGCAGCAGGAACTGCTGCTGCTGCTCCGTTGAGCCAGGGACTTCTCCTCCCTCCTTCCGTGCAGCAGCAGCAGCAGCAGCAGCAGCAGCAGCAACAGCAGCAGCAGCAGCAGCAGCAGCAGCTGACAGAGACAGGAGACAGGGGGGGGGCCCTTGAGGAGACAGATGTGAGGAGACAGGGTACCCTGTGGTGCGACATGGAGGCAGAGGCGCGCGTAGCTGGGTGGGGGGGGGCCCCCGGGGCCCCCGGGGCCCCCGGAGAGGGTACCGGTGGGGGGGCCCCCCAGGACTCGTTTGGTTGCTGCAGCAGAGAGAAGCAGCAGCAGGAGACAGATGAGTGGCAGGAGACAGAAGAGGAGACAGATGCAGAAGGAGACAGTCAGCTCCTTGCTGCTTTTCACTCCAATAGAAGCGCAGAGACACAACATAGCTTCGATACGGTGTGCTGCTGCTGCTGCTGCTGCTGCTGTTGCTGTTGCTGCTGCTGCTGCTGTTGCTGCTGCTGCCGTTCGTGTCGCTGCTACTGTTGTTGTTGCTGCTGCTGCTGCTGCTTTTCGTAGTGTTGCGGTTGTTTGTGTTGCGGCTGCTGTTCCTGCTGTTGCTGCTGCTGCTGCTGCTGCTGCTGCTTTTGCTGCTGGATTTCATGATGTGTTTATATCTTGTGTGTGTGCTGCAGCAGGACCTGCAGCAGCAGCAGCAGCAGCAGCAGCAGGAGCAGCAGCATAACTGCGCTGCTGCTGTTGCTGCAGCAGACCCTCGGCGGTCCCCTGTATGGGAGGGGCAGCACCGGCAGCTGTCTATACACCTGGAGAACGTCAGCCGCCTGGCTGCAGCAGATATAGGGTTTAGGGTGCTGCCCCCAGAAGACACAAAAAATATTAACATGCAGGAACTCCAACGCATCTTTCAGGTATGTATATATATATATATATATATATATATATATATATATATATATCTGTATATGTATATGTATGTATATATA